GGAAAATCTCCTAACAGGAAGCTCTCAAAGTTGATGTGACCACCACCCCTAAAATGTTTACTTAAATGAGTGAAGTGAAACAAAATAAACTCACTCTCTATTGGTTCCACTATTTGTCCAAAATCCCTTTACTAAATAAAAATAAAATTTGCCCCTTACCCTTTATGGGCTACATTGTGTGTCTCCAACCTCCCTCCCCAATTCGTTCGGTTGAAGTCCTAACCCCCAAGATCTCAGAATTTAACAGTATCTGGAGGCAGAGCCTTTAAAGAGGTGATTCAGGTAAAAGAAGGTCATCAGGGTAGACCATGACCCAGCAGGACTGGTGTCCTTAAAAGAGAAAATCTGGACCCAAACCTGCACAGAGGGAGGACGGTCACGAGACACAGAAAGAAGACGGCCACCTACATGCCGACCTGATCTTGGACTTCTGGCTTCCAGAACTGTGAGGCAATTTCTATTGATGAAGCTCTGGTCCGGGGCACTTTTTTTTATGGCAGCCCCAGGAAACTCGCACACCCAGCAGACAGCACTGAAATGCCCCTTCTGGAACACACAGCGCTGTGCAGCAGGGCAGAGCTGGGATATAAATGAATGAGTCAGACCAGGTCAGCTTATTCATCACTCAGACTCACGCATGGGCCAAATGCCTGAATCACTACTTTATTTATCATCAGGATCCGGCTCAGAAAGTGTTGATGAGGAAATGAGTAGAACCCAAACTCATCCCTGTGTTTCTGAGACATGCTTAATCAATCTCTGAGGTCCTTTCTGGGCCAAAATGAAAACTTGGGGAAGTGAAGGGATGGGCTTTGCATGGTCGCCAGCAGCAGGCTGGCTCTTCAGGGGCCTGGCAGTGCTCGGACAGAGCCCTTTGTTCTGCAACACCCTCCATCTAGGAGGGGGGCAGAGAGAAGGGCCTGTCTCGCTTTGCGGGGAGGCCGAGCAGGGGCTGCCTGGCACAGTTAGTTGGGGACTTGGGGACGCACAAAGAGCTGGTGGGTGGGGACCGAGGGTGGGAGGGACAGTGCCCACAAAGGATCAGAATGCCCCCAGAATGTGCATTCCCTCCTATGGAGTTACAGCTGCCATGTCACCATCGGGGAACAAGCAGAGAAGCATGCGCAAAGCACAAAAGTTAGATAATCTGTCTAATATTTTTTTTGCTTTGAAGATGGACTGGCATCTTGAGCCAAAAGGGCAAAAAGGAGAAGATAATGGGGCTTCAAAAGCCACACTGATCCGGGGCCACCTCCAAAAGAGCTCTTGAGAAGAGAATCGAATACCTCTAATCTCAGAAGGAAAGCAACAATTTGTGCCAAGCGAGGACGGATCCTGCAGAAATCCAGGTCAGTGGTAAGACAAAGAAGAACGAGACAATGGCATTGCTGTCTGGGCAAACGCAGAGAGCCCCCGCTCATCTCCTGTCCCTCCTCTGCTGTCCATTCCTGAGGCACGTTGTCCAACTCCCCCTTGGTCGGTTCCCAGTGGTGCCTCCTTTTTATCGAGACTCCAGATTAAGAACTGACCGGATGGCAGAATTCAGTTGCTGGCCTCTTTCCCCAACTCCTGCTTTTGGCAGCAGTTCCCGAGGAGCTCAACTTACGCCAAAGACCCACTAAGGCAAAGGTGGGCAGGAGCCAGATTTTACTACAGAGCGGAAGTTGATACTGGTGGCGATTCTGCCCCCAAGAGGCATGCAGTCATGTCTGGAGACATTTTTGGTTATCACAGCTTGGGGGGTGGATGCTACTGGCATCTGGTGGGTGGAGGTCAGGGATGTTACTCAACATTCTGTAATACAGGGGACTGCCCACCCCCCAACCTCCCAGCAAAGAATGACCCAGTCCCAAATATGAATAGTGCTGCAGTTGAGTAACTATGCTCTAGAATTTGTTCCTCGCCCATCTGAGGTTATCTTTCGAGTTTCTAGAGAACCAGGGACTTCTCTGAAGCCATCATCTCCCTGAGCCTCAGTTTCCATATTGGGAAAACAGAAACCAGGATCTCTGTGTTGCTGGTTAGCAGAATTAAGAGTTGGGTATAAAAGTGTCTATCACAGAAGGTGCTCAATAAAGGGTAGAGCTGCAGAGGGATCTGCTTGTGCAAACCCCCCTTTTGGGCTTGGTTTTACACCTCTGTATCTTTCAAGGCTTGGCTGGAGCCCAGCCATGTCTTCTGAGGAAAACTGCAGGAACCCTTGAACCTAAAGCTTGCACTGGTCATTCCTCATTCTGTTCCCATCACTTGCACCAGCTCTGTTGCTGAACTGACTACAAACTCAACTCCATTATTAGTGTGTTGGGGGGTGGGGCTACTGGAATGTCCCTCCTCCAGGCCACAAGGATTCATCTCTGTCCCCTGGAACCAGCCCCCAGCACAATTCAGCTCTTGCTTAACTGAACTCTGGGCCCAACCAAGACACACAACTTGGAGGAGATGAGAGGGAAGGAGCAAGTTAAAAAGCCCCTATCGGGGACTGTGAATGCATCCTACAGCCAAACAAAAAGGGGAGATTCCCACGTCCCATGTGCTTCTTTGAGTCATAGGCCTGAACCTGAGGGAGGGTCTCACCCAGTGATTTCCAACCACAGGATGCAGCTAGAGCTTCGGGAACAGATGTGATGTGCAAAGCACATTATGCATCATAACTTTCCATTTGGAACATGAAAGTGCAGCAAAAAATCATTTTTGGATGTAAGTTGTAGAATGGAAAGCTAACCAAAACTGGGATCACTGCGGCAGGGAGGGGATCACCAGTTGCGGAGTTACATAAAATCCAAGGGGGGCTGTGTGCTGCAGACACCAAGATTATCAAGAAGGGTTGGGTTTCAAAGTTGAAAAATGCTGATTGAGGTCAATCCATTAATTTTGCAGGTGAAAACAGATAAAAGAGACTTGAAGGGGGTCAGAATTCTCAACACAGGCCCCTCTAAGAGAGCCTACCTGGCCATGCTTCAGGTGCCAGGGGGAGAAAAACAGCTAGGCCATGCAACCAGAAGATTCTGGTCCTGTTTATTGGCAAGCCCATGCTCAATGTCTGCAGAAGGCATGACTGTGGCTCTGATTGAGTGTCCTGGAACCACCTTCCATTAGAACCAGAACATTCTGGAAGTTAAGGGGGTGGCTATCTCTCTGTGGCCCTCTTTATGGTCAAGGTATCCAAATTCATTTCCTGTATGAGCTATAAACCCAGGCTCCCCAGTCCTCTGGCAGATCCCAGACGATTCCCCACAGTCAGGAAAGAAGAGAAATTAATGATGATCCAAACTGCTCCATGCAAGGACCTCACCAGAACCCAGCCCATCAGATGGTGGAACAACTTTCCAGTGGCCCATGTCACCTCCCACTGCTCCTAATTGCCTTAAGAGCCTAGAGACTCCTAGACCAGAACATAACTCAGCAGGGTAGGAGCTCGGACCCTCCATCTGGAAGGCACAATGTCTCCATCAACTACCACCTTGGACACAGTGCAGGAGAGGCTTTCCTTTAAAGCCCCTTGGCTTACAGGCCCACAGGAGAGAAGGCAGAGTGCACGGGCTGCCTCTGGGGCTGAGCTCACAGCTGCCGGAGGACAGATTTCCTGTGTCATTTTACCCATTTAAGTCCAAGGATGCAACTTTGAGGAGGTGGTGACAGCCTAGCACACTCCAGTGCCTGAATGTGCACTCCCTCCCCTCTGAAACCCAGTTCCGGTCCCAAGGAGGGCCCTGAGCCTGCTTCCTTGCTCCTTGGGACCCCCAGGCTCCAGGCAGCCAGGTCCTAGCAGGAGAGTGGTGTGCTTTTCCAGTCCGGAATTCTGGAATCCCGGCCCAGAGGGCGCTGGGATTCACCCAGGGTCACCCAGTGGCTGGGGGTGATATCGGGAAGATGAATCAAGAAAGGCAGCCCCCACCCCCATCTCCCGAACCTCTGTGAACTGCATCCCAACATCTGAATGGGGCTGCTACAGTATCTTCCTCCCTTCCCCTCCTCCTGAGGTCCACCCCGGACAGGCTCTCAGTTCTTGCCATGCCTTCTACCCTCTTTTTGCCCCCAAAATGGGGGATGTAAGGACATCCCCCATTTTCTCTTTCCCAATCTGGCGGGCCACCACACCAGGGGTTTCAGAACCTCTCGCATTTATGAACACTCACTGAGTCCCAGGCGCCGCCCTGCTTCAGGCACCATTCCTCCGCGACTCAGCTGTGGGCAAACGCCCCCAGGCTGTCCTGCACCCCTTCCCCTGATCGCACCCAGGCTGTCCCGCCCCCACCGGCCTTGCCCCTCTCCCCCGGCCTGGGCCTCTCAACATCGCCTCCTTGCCTTTGCCCCTCCCAGACCCGTTTCCTGCGACCCCTCAACTACCACTTAGCCACGTCCTCTTCAGAGAAGCTGCTCAAAGCCACAAGACCTACCTCCCCACCCGCCCGCAAACTCCCTTACAAGGCCTATCCCATCAACTTTCTCTTGCTCCGTCTCTGTTGCACGCCGTCTCCAGTAACCACTCCGCGATCCCCCAAGCTCATTCCCGCCCCTCGACCCCTGCCTTCATACACCTCCATTACCCCTCAGCTCCATCCCCTTACACTGCAGCCCGCCGATGATCGAATTCCCACCCGCGGTCATAAGCACTCACCTGGGCCTCGGCTGCTGCGCGCCGCCGGTCCCGCGCCGGGTCCCCGGCCAACCCGCTCGCCTGCCCGGCAATCCTCAGGCCGCTCCGCGGGCCTCTCCGCCCCGCCGCGCCCGCCGCTCCCGCCGCTCCCCTGCGCGCTCCCGCTTCCGGGTTGATGGGGGGGCGAGGCCTGGGCGTGACGCCAGAGCGCCCAGGGGCGGGCACCATAAAAACCACGCCCCCCCACCGACCGCGCCCCCGCACGCTCTTGTTTCCGGGGACGGCCTGGGCGGGACTCCAGAGCGCCACCGGGCCCGAGAACCAGGAAACACCGCCCCCAGACGCGGCCCCAGCCACCGCCCCCGGCACTGGCGGGCGAAACCAAGTGTGAGGGGGGAGCCCACGGGCACGCGCGCTGGGATCGCCCATACCGCCTGCACTTCTCTCCCTGAGGTCCGCGGCCACCCCTCCTGCGGCGGGGCAATATGGTCCTGCCCGCAGCCACGGAACTCAAGGAGTTGGCCTTTGAGTTGAAGGCGGGAAAATGGCGGATTCCTCGGGGCGCGCTTCTGGGTGAGTTGGGACACCGCCGGTCTGGGTTTTGTGGGTGCCAGCGGGAAGGCCATGGTCAACGGCTGGGGCCAACAACGTTGGGAAACAGGGGGCCCTCGGAGTGAGTCCTGACCTCTCTAGGTACCAACAAGGATGCGCTGGCTCTGAGAGACCCCCGTGGGGGCGGGGGGCGACCTCTGAGGTCCGCCAGTTCGAGTCCCTTGTCCGCTGCTTTGATCAGCTTGTGACTGTTACTTTATGCCTCGCTTCCACCGCTGCGAAACCAGGCTGAGGACATCGCCGCTCAGCCTATAGGCCTCACGTCACCCTTCAAAGCGCTTAAAACCTGCCTAACTCTGAAGTCTGCTCTGTCGCTGTTAGAATAATCATTTTGTGGTGTACAATATATTTTAGTGGCCCATGTTTTGAGGTTGATTGTTTTAGCGTGCATTAGCACTTCACTCCTTTTTAGGGCCAAATAATATTCAGGCTTTGTTATTTTTTTTAATTGAGATATAATTGACGTATAATATTACACTAGTTTTGGGTGTATAACAAAATGATTTAATATTTCTGTATAAGTCCAGTTAACATCTGCCACCATAACCTTCTTAAGATGAGAACAGTTAAAATCTACTCTCTTGGCAACTTTCAAATATACAACATTATTATCACATGTAGACACCATGTTTTACATCACATCCCAATACTTATTTATAACTGGAAGTTTGCACCTTTTGACCCCCTTCACTCATTTTGTGCCCCCTTCACCTCTACTCTATTAGGGTGGTTACCCTTCTATTCTCTGTATCTATGAGTTCAGTGTTTTGTTTTGTAGATTCCACACATAAGTGAGGTCATACAGTATCTGTCTTTCTCAGTTTGACTTACCTCAGCATAGTGCTTTATATAAAACTATATACATATATATTTTATCTTATTTTATTTTTAGAGAGGGGACAGGGGAAGAAAGAGAGGGAGAGAAACATTAATGTGTGGTTGCCTCTCATAGGCCCCCTACTGGGGATCTGGCCTGCAACCCAGGCATGTGCCCTGACTGGGAATTGAACCAGGACCCTTTGGTTCACAGGCCAGCACTCAATCCACTGAGCCACACCAGCTAGGGCTCTAAAATTATATTTTTAATTCTTTCATTCATTGATGGACACCTAGGTTGTTTCCATGTCTTGGCTATTGTAAATAATGCTGCAATAAACATGAGGTGCAGATATCTTTTAGAGTTAGTGTTTTCATTGGTTTTGGGATAAATAACCACAGGTTGGATCGCTGGATCATATGGTAGTTCTATTTTTAGTTTTTTGAGGAACCTTCATATTGTTTTCTGCAGCAGCTGCACCAATTTACATTTCTGCCAAGGGTTGCAACTTCTCCACATCCTCTACAGCGCTTGTTATTTCTTTTTCATAGCAGCAATTCTAACAGGTGTAGGGCGATGCTTTGCTGTTTTTGGTAGGGGTTCTGCAGCAGCCTTCCAAGTTCTCTGTGTCTTCAATTTCATGCCCCTGATCATCATGCCAGGGGCTCTCAGCTATGACAGTGCAGACAGCTAGGGCTGGATCTGTGATGCCAGATCCACCCTTATGGGGTGTTGAGCAGCATTTCTGTCCATGACCCATTACGCCAATAGCATCCCCCTTTGTTGTGACAGTCAGTGATGTCTTCAAATATTGCCAAATGTCTTGTAGAGGGCAACATTGCCCTTGAATGAGCACTCCTAAGTTTTTTGTATGACTAATACTCTTGTGGACTGACTGTGCCCCCACACACCCAAATCCATATGTTGAAACCCTAAGCCCCCATGTGGTTGTATTTGCAGATGTAGCCTCTGTGGTGGTCATTAAGGTTCAGCGAGATAAGGGTGGGGCCCTGATCCCCAAGGATTGATGTCATTATAAGAAGAAACGCCAGAGAGCTTGCACACGTGTTCTAACCCTGTCTCTTTCCCTCCTTACCTCCCTCCCTCTCTGCTTTTCCCCTTGGCCACTTACCTTGTCTGCACCTTGATCTTGGACCTCCAGCCTCCAGAACTGTGGGAAAGAAATGCCTGCTCTCCAAGCCTCCCAGTTTCCTATTTTATGATGGAAGCTTGAGCAGATGAATACCCAGGCACTGGGGCACAGTGAGGGGCAGACCTGGCCCCTGTCCCAGGACCTTAGAGCCTCTCTTCTGCCCAGCTGCCAGTGGTCTCCATGAAACACAGCTCTGACTGTGTTCATTTCCTAGGACCTGCGGGCAAAAGCCAGAGCGCCCCCTTTTTTGAATGGCTGGTGAGCTGAGTTTGTGCATTGAGTTTGTGGCAAGCTGAGAATGGTTTGTGCATTCTTTTTTTTTTAAGATTTTATTTATCTTTAGAGGGGAAGGGAAGGAGAAAGGGAGAGAAATATCAGTGTATGGTTGCCTTTTGTGTGTCCCCTGCTGGGAACTGGCCTGCAACCTAGGCAAATGCCCTGACTGGGAATTGAACCGTGGTTGCTTGATTCCCAGGTTGCGCTCAATCCACTGAGCTACACCAGCCAGGGCCCTGTGCATTCTTAAATGGTTGTTAAAAAACGTCAATAGAAGAAGTGTGTTTTGGACACATGAAAATTGTATGAAATTCAGATGTTGCTATGTGTAAAGTTTTGTTGGGACACAGCCACACCCTTTTCTTTCTGCATCATCCGTGACTGCTTTGCGATCTGACGGCAAGGTTGAGTAGTTTTGACTGTGAGCACGTGGCCCACAGAGCTGAAAATATTTACTGTCTGGCCTTTTACAGAGAGAGGGTTCCAAGCCCGTAAGTTGGGCGCTCAGACTGCCAGCCTGGCCTGGTGTGTGCGCCTCCTTAGCTAGAGAACATGCCCCATGTTCTCTGGCTAAGCCATAGGGCTGATCAGTTCCTGTTTCCATCACACACTCTGTCCTCTCTCATGCCCTTGGTCTTGCTGATCCCTGCCTTAGGATGTCCTTCCCCATGTGCCTGAGCCAAAGGCGCTTTATTGCTTGCCTCTCCCCACCCCTTTACCTGTCCAGGGTGCCCTCACAGTTGCCCAACAGGAAAACGCTGCTCTTCTCTCTGCCCGGAAGGAGCCCCGTTTCTTTCTCACCGGTGTCCTTAGTAAACCACAGGCACCTGACCACCTGCCGAGTTAGTGAACTCGGGGCTTGAATTGAGAGCTTTGAGGCAGAGCAGAAATGCTCGCTCTTCTTGCCGTGGGCCCTTCTCAGTTCAGGTGTGGGGCTGCTGTGTGTCACCTCAGGTGACAGGGCTTCTTGTCCGTCTTCCTGCCAAGGTGCCCGTCTTCCCAGAGATCAGAAGCCTGGACTTTTCATGGGCTTCCCTCAGCTTCTTGTCAACTGCATTAACAAGGCCCCCTCTCTGTTTCAGGAAGCCTCCTGTGGGGGGTCCCAGCACTCCTGCTGGTGCTAAACCAAAAGGCAGACGAACACAAGGTGAGTCAACTTAGAGTCTGCCTTGTGACCCCGCGAAGTGAAAAGTGATTCTGTGCCCTGCGTGCACGGCTCTTCCCAGCCTGGTGCATGCTCACGGAGACCACTGCCTCCATGCCCTGCACTAGGTTCCCTGTTAACTGTGGGCGTGCAAATGCTGGTGCGAAGATATGGTTGAAATCAGTTTTTCTCAACCAAACTGTCCAGCTATGTGATGTTGACTATGTCACTCTCCCTGGGTCTCCTTAGTAAAAAGGAAGACCCTGAGCTCCAGAGACATCTAGAAAAAGTACAGAATTGTGCATTTGATGCATTATTGAGCACCTACTCCCTGCAGAGTGGTGGAATGGAGCAGCAAGCCAGACAGATAGTCCCTGCCCTCAGGGAGCTGGCTGTCTGGGACACAGGTGGTAGTACCACAGGTGGCCCAACGAGTGGAAAAGTAAGCAGACCCAGGGTGCAGAGGTTGGTGACAGATGCTGTGGATAAAACAGCAGGATGGGGGTAGCCTCTCGGTCCAGGGGAGGTGCTGGGCTGAGCAGAGCTGGGAAGGGGGCAAGTGCAGAAGCAGCCTGCTGGTTGGAGAACGGTGGGGGTGGGGTCATGGTCATGGGAGCGGAGTGAGTGAGCCAGGTGAGGAGGCGAAGGAGGCGACCAGGTCAGAGGGATGCCCTGGTTGCGCTGGACCTGTTGCCTGAGGTGCTCAGGCTTCACCAGCTGGTGGACCTGCAAGATCACCTAATGTCAGCCATCAGAGTGGCAGCCAGCCTGCAGGGCACAGGATATTTCAAGAGGAGGGGGGCATGCAAGTGAGCAGTGTCTGGTGCTGCTGATGGGTCAGGACTAGGACTGAGTGTGGCTGATAGACCTTGGAACAGGGAGGTCTTGGTGGTGTTGCTGAAATGAGTTTTCTTCTGTGTGCTGCTGGGTGTGAGAGCCAGTGTGGGGAGAGGGGTTCTTTGAGGGAAGAGGGAGGAGAGGAGGAGAAGCCGGCATCGTAAAGGGAAGCAGGGAGGTGGGGGTGAGCCCCAGAGGAGCAGCAGGACTGGTTTGGGGGTGGGGAGGAGAGAGGTGGCCAGGGCAGTTTCCTTATGGGGTGGGGGCTGGGCTCTGACAACAAGAGTGAGAGTTCTCCCAGGGGCAAGGGTCCCTCCACACGGTGGGCCTAGTGTTCTGCCATGAGGTTGGGAGATGGCTGGTTGCCAAGGAAGGAGGGTATCCTGGGGCTGCTGCTGTCTTCCCAGTAAAGTAGGTGGTGGTGCCCAGCTGACCAGAGGGATGGACAGTATGAGGGAGGGTCCCGGAGAGGGGTTGAGGGACAGAACAGAGGGCTGTGGGTGATCACTGGGGCTGCAGCGAGAGCCCCTAGAGGCTAGGAGGACAGGTGGGATCTCCATCCATGTTCAAGGCACATGCATGGAAGGGGACCTGAGGCTGGACTGTCACAAGGGAAATGCTGTGTCTAAGAAGGGCCTTGGGGCTGAGCATGTCCAGGGGAGTGTTCCTGGGCTAGGAGAGATGGGGCAAGGGTGTATTAAAGGCCATACCATGTGTGTGGGAAGGAGCAGTTGGGGTCACGACCATGGGGAGTGAGTTGAGGGGAGAGGAGGCTGCAAATAGATGGCTCTCTATGAAAGGTTTGTTCTTTCCCTGTCTCACCCCTGAGACCCCCCTCTGCTCCTGTGACCTCTGTGGCCCTTCCTCAAGCCCAGGGATTAGTAGGTGTCCCATAAATGTTCTTGCAGACAGCAGGTGTCCCATACATAGTCAAGGGTACTGAAGGACAGGATCTGAGAAGTGTAAGGGAGGGCCACTGGCACCCTGCTCTGGGGTAGGTGGTGTCAGTCCTCAACACACGTGGGTCTTCACACATCACTTGTTGTTTTGTTATAAACCAGCAGTGTGTCCCCACAGGTGGAAAAGTGGTGGAGTCCCGATATCTGCAGTATGAGAAGAAAACCACCAAAAAGGTAACACATAATGTTTGAAACAGTTCTGAAGGGAGTTCTAATGAACTTAAAGTTCTGAGACAAGTCATTTGAGCCAGGCATAGCCTGGTTCCGAGGGCACTATTTTGGGGGTTTTGCCCAGTTGCCTTGGAGACCATTGTACCCTTCATGCTGAGTCCTGTGTCTCTGCAAAGCCATGATTTCTGTTGAAATGTAAAATTGTTCTGCCTTTCAACCCCATCACTCCTCTTCCGGAAGCAGTTCTGGCGAGTGCCCAGCACGCAGTCCCTGCTTGGCTGTATTCAAAAAAATACCTGCAGGGCTCTGTCCAGTGTGCGGCTCAGTGGGCTGGGCATTGTCCTGCAAGACAAAAGTTTTTTGGTTTGATTCCTGGTCAGAGCACATGCTTGGTCAGGGCGCATACGAGAGGCAACCAATCGATGTTTCTCTCTCACACTACTGTTTCTCTCCCTCTCTTTCTTACTCCCTTCCCCTCTTCAAAATAAATAAAATCTTTTTAAAAAATACCTGCAGGGTTTTGGAGCGCAGCTATGGGGGAAATAAGGGCCTGAATCACCCAGTAGTAGAGGAATAGATTCATGAACTACCTGTAGTCACCATGAAAATTATGAAGTCATTGAAAATGACAGCCCAAAACACTTAGCAACATGAGAACGTACTTTGTGTGATGTGTAATGAAAACACTCGCTGTGTTGCCCAATTATATATATATTTTGTTTATGCATGTATGTACTGAGAATGTGTTGAGGCGAAGGTTGTGTTATCCCTCTATTTTCCAAACCATTGTTTGTGGTAAAACTTAAATAAATAATCGTTTGCACTATCTTTTTTACTCTGGATAGAGTGAATGGTGGATTCTTAAAAATTTGACTAAAATCCAGCATGAAGAAACAGAATAGCTTTGATAGCTTTGCATAGACTGTTTGATATGCTTCTTAATTTTTTTAATGTACTTTATTTTTTTAGAGCAGCTTTAGGTTCACAGCAGCAACATTGAGCAGAAGATACAGAAATTTCTCACATACCCTCTCCCCCCACACATGCGTAGCGCCCCCAACTATCAAATCCTGCACCAGAGTGGTCTGTTTGTAATTGATGAGCCTACGCTGACACATCATCACCAGGAATCCGTGTTTTACAGCATTGAAGTGATTTTCAACAAAGGATCACAGTCCACACACTTCATCATTTTAATGTTGCCTTGCAAACTTGGTTACAGCGCCCCCATGTGTCTACATGCTGTACATAGTATTTTAGATCTTCAAGAGCTTCCCTGTTTTCTTTTTTTGCATCTTTGAAATTAAGGTAAAGTCTCACTTCATGTTGTCAGTAGGTTCTTGGAACTGCAGTGAAGCGATGGGTAACAAAACCAGTTTTACCAGAGGCTGATTGATGTAAAGGAGAGTAAAGCTCCTATGATGTCTTACCAACTGTATGTAAGACAATGTTATTCGAGGACCTGCTGTATAATGTGCATAAAGTAAGCGATACTCTTTGCAGTGTCCAGTTCTGCAGGTTTTGACGGATGGCTCCAATCATGGACTTACCACAGTCAAGATGCAGAAGGATCTGTCACTTCCAAAACCTCCTGGTGCTGCTCTGATGGAGCTGGCCCCTCCCCTCCCCAGGAGACCCTGATCTGTTTTATGTCCCTATAGCTTTGCCTTTTCCAGAAGGTCATTTAAGAAGTGTCATATAGGCCCTGGCTGGAGGGGCTCAGTGGCTGGCCTGCAAACCAAATGATCATTGGTTCAGTTCCCAGTCAGGGCACATGCCTGGGTTGCCAGCCAGGTCCCCACTGGGGGCATGTGAGAGGCAAGCAATCTACGATCTACGATGTATCTCTCACACAACAATGTTTCTGTCCCTCCCTTTCTCCCTCCCTTCCTCTCTCTAAAAATAAATGAGTACAATCTTTAAAAAGTGTCACATGGGATGCAGCCTTCTATATCTGCCTTCTTTCGTGCGAAGAGTGCTGGAGGTCCCTCCCTGTCATTGCCTTCACAGTCAGTGTCGTTTCCTCCTGGTGGCTAAGGAACATTCCCCTGTGTGGGTGGGCATGGTGTGCTCAGCCGGTGAGGGACATTTGGTTTGTTTCCCGTACTTAATAATTTTGAATAAAGCCGCATTAAACATCTCTGTGTAGGATTCTGTGTGCTCACGGTATCATTTCTCCCAGTCTCCCAGGAGCAAAATTACTTAGTGATGGTGTAAGCAGGTATGTGGTTCTGAGAACCCACCCAGTGTTACTCAAAGTGACTGCACCTTTTTACGTTCCCACCAGCCCCAGGGAGTCCCAATCAGTACTTTGAGGAGTGAAGCCATTCCAGGGGGTGTGAAGTGGTATCTCATTGTGGTTTTAATTGCATTTGCATAACAACATGATATCGAGCATCTTTTTATGCTCTTATTGTCCATTCTTACATTTGCAGTAATGTGTTTATTCAAATTTGGCCCATTTTTAAATTTCTATTTTTGTTAAAGATTTTCTTATTTTAGAGAGAAGGGGAGGGAAGGAGAGAGGGAGAAAAACCTCGATTAGGCGAGAAACATCGATCATTTGCCCCTTATTCACCTTCAGTTGGGAACCTGGCCTACAACCCAGGCATGTGTTCTGACTGGGAATTGAACCAGTGATCTTTCGGCTTGTTTGCAGGACGACGCCCAACCAACTGAGCCACAATGATCAGGGCAGCCCATTTTTTAGTTGGATTGTTTATTTTCTCATGGAATTTTGAGAGCTCTTTCTATATTTTGGATACCAACCCAGTATAATGATTTGCAAATATTTTCTCCCACTGTGTGGCTTGTCTTTTGTGGTTTCATTTTCTTAAGTATTTTGTGAGGAGCAGAAATTCTTGATTTTGGTGAAGACCATTTTATTGATTTCTGCTTTTATAGATTGTACCTTTGGTGTCTTATCTAAGAAATATTTGCATAACCCAAGATTGAAAGGATTTTCTCCCATATTTTCTTTTAGGAGTTTTGTAGTTTTAGGTTTTACATTAAAGTCGATGATTCATTTTTTAAATCAATTTTTATGCCTGACGTGATGATGGAATTGAAGGGTATGGATGTTCTCTTGTTCCGTTACCACTGATTGAGATGTCTTTCCTTTCCCATTGTGTCATCTCATCACCTCTGTCAGAAACTAATTGCTCGTATAGGTGTGCATCACTTCTGCACTCTGTTCTTTTCTGTCGTTCTACCTGTCTGTCCTTAGGCCAGTTCCATGCTGCCCAGGTTATCTTTAGCTCTGTAGCAAGTCTTGAAATCAGGTGGTGTGAATTCTGCTTTGTTCTTTTCCAAAACTTACTCTTCAAGTTCCTTTGCCTTTCCATGTAAATTTTAGGCTTAGCTTGCCATTCTCCACCAGCTCTCCAGCTGGGATTGATTGTATTGAATCTATGCGTCAGATTAGGGAGGACGATATTTTAAAACACCGGGGTCTTTGAATCCATGAACATGGGATACCCCTCCTTTTATTTTGTCTTCTTGGATTTCTTTTAACAGTGTTCTGTGGTTTCCGGTACACAGCCCTTCCTGTGTTTAGTTAGGGTTCCACGTAAGTATTTGATTTTTTTTTTAGTTGATGATTCATTTAATTTTAATTTGGTACTGTCTTTTAATTTCAATTTGCAAAATTATTCATTACTAAAAATATAGTTGATTTTGAAAAATATTGACCCTCTTATTTTGAAACCTTGCTAAACTTATTAATTTAGTAGGTTTTTAAAGATGTTTTAGCATTTTCTACATAAAGAATCATGTCTCAAAGAGCAGTTTATTCCTTTTTCTACTACCTGTTTCCCTTTTATTGCTTGTTTAGGCCCCAACACGAGTTCAGTGGAGTGGCGTCTGTGCTTGAAATGGTCTCACTCTTTGCAGGGTTTTCTTTCTTTCTTTTTTTACATTGTTATATTATAATGGCTTGCTAGCTCCATGTGTTGATTGCCTTTTTGTACATTTTGAAGATTTACACCTGTACAAACACTTTGTTTTTCCTGATGACCAAAGTAATATACAGTCTGTCTATAAAACTGCCACGTGCTACAAAGTACACAGAAAATCAGTCATCTGTCATCAGTCATGGCAGAGGTAATCACTGGGAAACACTGGGTGGATTTCTGTGTCCTGTGTTCTATGAGAGTATCCTTTTTGATGAAATTAGTTTGTCCTGTATATGTGCCATTAAATGTCAGAACTCCTTAAGTCTGTGCCTTACTTCAAAGTACGAGCAGGGGCAAACCTTGTAGACCTTGAGGGAGCCCCGTCTTATGAAGGGGAGGCATCTGGCCCCCTGAGTGTTGTGTGTTCCCTAACAGGCTCCGGCAGCAGGTGCTTTAAAGCCCAGCGGGAAGAAACCTGAAGGCGGAAGGAAACCCAACCCACCCCTGAAGAGCAAAGGTGTGTAATGGGGGAGGGAGGGTGTAAGACAGCTGTGGAGCTCAGGAAGTTAGTGGGGCTGAGTTACATATTCAAGTATGGGAAGTAGAAAGCCCCTTTTTTCTTTCTGGGAAGCAGCAGAAGCAAGAGCTGGGCCATGTGTTTCAGGGTACGGACAGATCTGGGGTGTGTGGGAGAGCTGAAAGGTGGTGGCAGGAGCCAGGGGTAGGTCACTTCCTTCCTGGGTGGTCCCAGAGAAGAGCCAGGTTGCCATCATGGCTCTTCTCTGTGGCACCAGTTCCTTGATCGCGGGACTGTTTCCCACCAGGGATTCGGTTCCAGGACCCGAAAAGGTGCGGGGCCTCATCCTCCTGCCTCTTACTGCCTGGGTCGGGTCTTCCTTGTAATGGCCTGCTTTCTTTTAAAAGTTGTCACCAGGGACTTCCGCCAAGATGGAGGCGTAGGTAGAAACACTTTGCGTTTGCATACAACCAAACCTAAAAACAATAAAGTTTTAACAATAATAAACGCAATCAAACCACACAGAAAATCGACAGTATGGAGTCCGAAAACAACAAAATGCTCAGCTAAACCGGTGAGAGGGGCAAAGCCAGCAGCGGAGCAGGTCAGGCAGGGCAGATCCCCTGACGTGGGAGGTGCACAGGCAGTCAAGGGCGAGGATCCCAGGTGCGGGCTAGCTACAGGTAGACACGGGAAGAGGCGCTGCTGGCTGTCTGCGGTCGGTCGAGCATTTGCGTGCAGTTAAACCAGCGAAGAGGCGAGCATTGAGACCGCATGGCGCACAGTGGCGGGCTCCCACATTTGCGCTCAGATAAACAGGTGGGAGGGCCAGCGGTGGGATGGACTGGGCTAGCGGAGAGGACCGCCATTGCTCCCTCTCTGACCCCGCCCCTGCATACAGCATCACAAACCAGTGACCTGGGTGGCCCCACCCTGGTAAACAACTAAGGCTCGGCTCCTCATGTAACAGGCACAAACAGATAAAAACATGGCTCAAGAACAACTCAGAGCCCCAGAGCTGATAAATCTAAGCCATGAAGAAATAGCCAAACTGTCAAATGCACAGTTCAAAACACTTGATCAGGATGCTCACAGAACTGGTTGATTTTAGTCACAAATTAGAGGAACATATAAAGGCTAAACTAATTGAAATGAATGGTAATGCACAGGAAACCAATAGTAATGGAAAGGAAACTGGGACTCAAATCAAGGGAGTAGAACAGAAGGAAGGAAAAAATGACCAAACAGAAAAGAATGAAGAAACAAGAATTCAAAAAAATGAGGAGAGGCTTAGGAACCTCCAGGACATCTTTAAACGCTCCAACATTCGAATTATAGGGGTACCAGAAGGGGAAGAGGAACAGTCACAAGTGGAAACCTTATTTGAACAAATAATAAAAGAGAACTTCCCCGTTCTGGCAAAGGAAATAGACTTCCAGGAAATCCAGGAAGCTCAGAGAGTCCCAAAGAAGTTGGACCCAAGAAGGAACACACCAAGGCACATCATCATTACATTAGCCAAGATTAAAATGAAGGAGAGAATCCTAGAAGCAGCAAGAGATAAGGGGACAGTCACCTACAAAGGAGTTCCCATCAGACTGTCAGCAGATTTCTCAAAAGAGACCTTCCAGGCAAGAAGGGGCTGGAAAGAGGTATTCCAAGTCATGAAAACCAAAGACCTACAACCAAGATTGCTCTATCCAGCAAAGCTTTCATTTAGAATGGAAGACAGATAAAGTGCTTCTCAGATAAGATCAAATTCAAGGAGTTCATCATCACCAAGCCCTTATTATATGAAATGTTAAAGGGGCTTACCTAAGAAAAAGAAGATAAAAAAGATGAACAGTGAAAGGACAGCAAACTCACAGTTATCAACAACCACACCTAAAACAAAAGCAAACTAAGAGGACAGCTAGATCAGGAGTGAACCATAGAAATGAAGATCACATGGAGGGTTAGCAACAGGGGAGTGGGAGAAGGAGAAGGGGGGAGAAGGTACAGAAAATAAGTAGCATAGACAGTAGATAGAAAATAGATGGGGGGAGGGTAAGAATAGTAGGGGAAATACAGAATCTAAAGAACTTGAGACACGTGTTCATGAACTAAAGGGGGTAATGGTGGGGGAGGGGTATGCAGGGTGGAGGGGAACGGAGAGGGGGGAATAGAACAAATGTAATGGCATAATCAATAAAATAAAAGAATATATTTAAAAAAAAGTTGTCACCAAAGTGATGCAGAAAGCTTTCAGTTTTCCTGATTATAGATGTGGCATGTGTTCATTATAAAAAAATGAGAAATGCAGACCAGGGTGGGAAGTTCCCTCACAATCTGCCACTCAGACCGTCACTGTTAGTGGGTTTGGTGTTCAGGTCTAGTCCATGCGTTCATCTACACGTCCGGGAAGCCCTGCCCCCCCCCCCCACTGTAGCAGCACGTCCAACACCCCACGTGCCCGCCTCTGTAGCAGGATTGGGCAGCTCTTTTGCATGTGAGCAGTTCACAAAGAGCAGGAGTGTTTCTTGGCTCTCGCCTCTTTGTTCAAAATGGCAACAGTGTTGAGTCTCATAGAAAAAAATTAAATATGTTCTCCTACAACTTAGATTTCCTACTTATTGTTCTGAGCCAGATGGTAAATACATTAATTAGGCTCTACAGGGCAGATACTCTCTGTCATGAAGACTCAACTGTGTCCTCCATTTGCAGTATGAAAGCAGCCACAGGCGTACATACACAAATGGACATGTCTGTGTCCCAATAAAACTTTATTAACAGACACGGGAAGTAGGCTGGGTCTGGCCTGCAAGCTGTAATTATGCTGATACTGGTTTAGATGTTTGTCAGAATTTGCACTGTTCTTGACCCAGGCATGATTGAGAAGGAGACACAACCTTCTAGTGTTTTCTAACGTTAGTTGAGCACCATGTATAAAGCCAAGAAAACTGGCATGTCCCAAGGCGTCAGACACTGGGCCTGCCACATTGTAAAGTCAGGTTCTCACCTGGGGGCAAGTCTAACCCTCAGGGGACACTGGGCAGTGTCCGGGGGCATTTTGGGTTGCCCGGAATGAGGACAGAGGAATTGTACTTGAATACTCTGGGGTGGAAGCCCTTCAACACTCGGAGCACACAGGACAGCCCACCAGAGAGAATGATCCGGCCCGGGCGTCAGTAGTGCGAGGGCCAAGGAATCCGAGAATAACCATGACTTAGGGACTGCTTTTTGAGTTTCATCATGTGGCTTTATAGGAAATTACATTTTTTAAATGTATTGATTTTAGAGAGAGAGGGAGGGAGGGAGAGAGAGAAATGTTAATTTGTTATTCCACTTATTTATGCATTTATTGGTTGATTCTTGTACACTCCCTGACTGGGAACTGAACCCTCAACCTTGGCATATCGGAATGATGCTCTATCCAGCTGAGCTACGTGGCTAGGGCCAGGAAATTACATTGCTTAATGGAAATATACTTGCAGATGACAAAACTTAACCTGTTTACACTTAACCTGTGTAAAAGCCTTAGCAATAAAAAAATCACCATCTCCCACCTCAGGTTCCCACCAGCTCCTCACCGGAGAGGCAGCTGCTCTACTTAGAATTACATAAAAGTTTTAACACAAATGGTACCATGCCCTACACATTATTGTGACTTTGCTCTTTTTATTTCCACACACTCATTTTCACAGCTGTGTAGTAGTTCTGGAGCTTGTTTTCTGTTTTATTCCTAGCATGACGGTGCATTTGACATACCGGCTGTTCATTTCGCAGTCCTTTGGAGCCCTTGCTTAATTAAAGCATGCAGTACGCCAGTGCCCATTTTATACGGTGTAAGGCACAATTTCACATTTTAAAATAGAGGCTAAAAGATGAAGGGAACTGCCAGGGAATGTGAACAGTCCAGAAGCTACTGGAGAAAGAAGGAGAAAGCCAAGGGAGTAATAAGTATATGGCATATATTAGAATCCCATTGTGAACACAGCAGCTTTTGTTAAACTAAGGAGAAAGACTTGCATCTTGGGCTTATAAAGACTGCCTCTCTTGTCTAATTTTTCTTTAAGATACATTCGAGTTGATGGCTGGGAGTTTCCAAAGGTTTTTCTGCCTTCTCTACTACCTAGCAAGAAGCTTAGTTTCGGAAGCAAATGTCATTGTCCAAAAGGTTGCCTGCTTCCAGCTTAGGGGTGGAGTGTGGCAGTGACTGTGTTGACTTCCAGGGTTCTTGTTGGCCCACAGAGAGCAGTGGCATCCTTGGCAAAGGTGACCTGCAGTCCACGCTGCTGGAAGGGCACGGCGCCGCCCCGCCGGACCTGGATCTCTCCGCCATTAGCGGTACATTTTTCACTTTACCCTGTTTCCACAGTGGAGGGGTTGCAGTGCCTCTCAGCAAGCTCACCTTAAAAATGCTTTCCTTGATCTTAGACAAAAGTGTGATCAGAAAGACTCTACAATTAGAAAAAACAATGTCGAAGAAAACCGAGTCAACATCACTTTCTACCTCGCAGAAAAAGAACCCAGTAAGTATCTGACATGAGAGGGAAGCTGCTAATGGGCTGCATGAATCTAAGGTACCTCCTGCCCCATGCCCAGTGCCATGCAAAGCCTGGGGCTCCGAGAATGTGCCTTTTAGGATAAAATAAACCAACACACGTTCTTAGGTCATTTGTAGAGCTCGCATCTACAAGTATGCGTACAGGAGTAGATGGACACATGCGGGAGCACGTGAAAGATGAGATCGGGACCTTGTTTGTGGTGCCAGGCCCTGTCCCTGCAAGAAGATGTCTGGGCTGTGGTCTTACCGGAGTGGGAGGTTCAACTCCTGATTCCAGAGTGGCACCAAGGGCTCTCCTGCTGGCCCTTGACCGCCCAGCCCCTGGAAGGGGGCCGGCCCATCCTCTTCCTTCTCACAGAGTGCCCAAAAGACTAAATAGGATACTAGAAACGCAGGTTGTTATCAGTAGTGGATTATCAAATTACTGAGCTGAATCAAGGTGTGTATGGGCTGGGGTTCTGTCCCTCCCATGGGAGAGCTGGATGTAAACCAGTTCATGGGAACCCAGAGTATCTTTCCCTTCCCCTCAAGGATCTCTCCGAGTCGATGGAAAGGATGGAATCCCAGACGTTACTCCTGACTCTACTGAGTGTAAAGGTGAACACGGAGCTGCGTTCCTGGGTGGCGTGGGTGGAACGGCGGCCCCCATCAGCCAAGAGATGGAGTCCCCCCCAGCCTGAGCTCTTGTTCTGAACTTCACAGATGGAGAACAGTGTTGCTGCGTTTGAAGAAAAGGCAGAAAGGGATTTGTTAACGATGTGCCAGGAGAAGGAGAAGCTCCAGAAAAAGGCCCATGAGCTGAAGCGCAAACTTCTCCTCTGTCAGAGGAAGCGGGAGCTGGCAGGTGTCCTCGATGCTCAGGTCAGCTGTGGCCACGGTCGCTGAGCCGCGTGTCGCAGCAGGGTTGCGTGGTGATTGTCACAGGGGTCAGTGACAGCGGCTGTTGCTCCTCACCTGGCTCTGAGTGTGTGCTCAGCTTTTGACACCACTAGGTGTTGGTAGGTGACAGTTTATAAGAAGATGAGCCTGTAGTGTTAAGTGCCACCCAGCAAGAGGGACCTGTCCCTTCAGTGCGTACATGCACACGTTCATCAGGTGCCTACTACCTGTGCTCAGTGACATGGAGACAAGCTTCAGGCCGGCCCAGGGGGCCAGGGTGCAGGTGAAGGCACAGTCTTGGAGCCATATAGTCAGTGATGGGACACAGTTGTCCATGCCAAGGAAGGTCAGGGAGCAGCTGCTCGGAACCTAGAAAGGCCATTGGGATGTGTCTTCTCACGCGGTGTATGGGCTGCTGTAACAAAGGCCCACAGACTGGGCAGCATGCACAGCTGACACTCCTTCTAGCCTGGAGGCTAGCAGCCCAAGATCAAGGCATTGGCACAGTTTGCTCTTTCCAGGGGCTGTGAGGGAACGAGGTGTCCTGGGTCTCTCTCTGGCTTGGGATGGCTGTCTTCTCCCTGAGTCTCTTCACGTGGCATTCTCCCTGAGTGCATACTTGTCTTCAGACCCCCCTTTTGTAGGGCCACCTGGTGTATCAATTGGGGCCCACTCTAGTGGCCTCCCCTTGACTCACCTCCCTTTGTAAAGAGCCTGTGTCCAGATCCAGTCACATTCTGAGTTCCTGGTGGTTTGGAGGAGTCACGAGGTTAGCCGGGCACTGTTCAGCCTTTGACACTCTGTGCGTGCCTCTGTTCTTGCATGTGGCCAGGCTGTGGGCTGAAACGGGGCTCCTGTCCTTGTGGTGTGGAAGGAAAAAAAATGACAAGTAATGAATCCTTATAATACCCCATAAGGATCCAGATAATGTGAATGAGGAAAAGGGGGTTGGTGGGGATGGCCTTGAGGTGGAGATGGTGTTTCAGCTCAGTGCTCAAAAGCAGGAGGGCTCAGCCTTCCTGGTCCACTGTGATTCCAGTTGAGGACCAGCCCTGGAATGAGCTGGAGGGTGGGTGGGTGTTCACGGCTGGGAGGGCGGCCAGGAGCAAGGGCAGAGCCACCGCCCCCACTAAACCTCTTGGAGGGTTCCCTAGGAGGTCCCGAAAGAACAGCCTGTGTCCTGACCTCATGTGTGCCACCGTGAGACCTCCAGGCGGCCACTGCAGGGTCTTGCCTCACAGGCCCCTTTCCCTCCTGCCTGCAGATGGAGATGCTCAGCCCCTATGAGGCTGTGGCTGAGCGCTTTAAGGAGCAATACAAGACATTCGCGACGGCCCTGGACACCACAAGGCACAAACTGCCCGTGAGATCGGTTCACCTGGGTGGAGACGAGAAACAGTTCTTAGGTAGGAAATGGGGCGTCTGCCGGGGAAGGATCAGGAGGAACTGCCAGTACGTGTGGGCACTTCCTGAGTGCTGGCACCTTTATCCCTTCCTGTCATCCTCACAAACCTGTAGGTAGATGGCACATCCCCCTTCCAATGGCAGAGGATGCAGGGTGCTGGCAAGACTGTGGTTTGTCCGGGGTGGTGCCCCAAGTAAGGACCATGCTGGGATTGGAACCTGGGTCTGGTTTCCCACTGATTTCCCACCCTGCTGAAAGGCATTCCTGGGGAGCGGCCTGCAGTCCCCCAGCCTTCGTGGGGGGGCTTTACCATGGTGCATTGTTGGCTGGGCAGTGATAGAGCTGCAGACCCTCACCCTGTCCTGCCTTCTGCACAGAGCTTAGGGTCCCCTTTCCTGCAGGGGGTCTTACCTGATCCTTCACTTGAAGAAATCGGCATGTGCGAAAAGTGCTGCGCTTGATCCTACAAGTCTCTCTGGAACAGTGATCTTACCAAAGCAAGTTTTCAGCTGCCCTAGTTCGGTTATTTCTAAGCAGAGCTCTCCTGAATCTCTCAGTATGTTTTGCTTGAGGCTGGTGTAGTAAAACATCACCACCTGAAATTGGGGGGACTTTACCTCCAGAACTGTGTACAGATGCAGTTCAGAGTCACAAAGGGTGTTGCTGTATTAGTCTCAGACAGACTTAAAAAAACTTTGCTTTACTGAAATGTAATTCAGATACTGTATCGTCTGCCCATTTAAAGTGTGCACTTCATTGTTTTTTATTATGCTCATAGGGGTGTGCAACTATTACTACAATATAATTTTAGGACATTTTTGTTTCCCCCAAAAAGAAACTCAGTATCTATCCGTTGTCACTTCCCATCTCCATCCCGCTCTCAGCCCTGAGCAACAACTGATTTCACTTAAAATCAAGCCTTTTCCGATGTGAAACAGTATATGTCTGGCATGGAAGGCGATCCTTGCTGAACGAACACCTTCCAGTTGTGTGGTCACTGCAGCCCACTGGCACCTCTAACTCCTGGGCCTCATCTCCGAGAAGTCCCTTAGACAATTGCCAGGAGTTGGGATTAGGGAGGGAATGTATGAGGTTTCTGCGGTTGCTGTAACAAAGTTCCACAAACTGGGTAGCTTAAAAAGGAGAAATTCATTCCCTCCCAGTTCAAGGAGCCAGAAGTCCAAAATTAAGGTGTGGGCACGTTCGGTTCCTTCCGGAGGCTCTGAGGAAGAGTCCGCCCAGGCTCCTCCCCGGCCTCTGGTGCTGGTGCCCAGCTCAGCCCCTGGCAGCATCACTCCAGCCTCTGCCCCGTCTTCGTGTGGCTGTGCCCCTTGAGCACCTCCGGATCTGAACTTCGGTCTCCCCTGAAGGGCACCCATTATTGGAATGGGCCCCACCCGGTGACCTTACTCTCACTCAGTTACATCTGTGAAGACCTCGTTTCCAGTAAGGCCATAGTCATTAGGACCTGAACGTGTCTAGGAGGGTACAATTCAGACCAGGTCAGGGGGAAAGAGGACGTGTGTTTTTACGAGCCCTTACAAGGTTCCCAAAATGTTATAATGTGTCATTGTGATGTGTGTGCATGCGGAGCAGGTAGCCGGGACGTGAGTCAGGAGTGAGAGACGCTGGTTTTCCTTGAGCGAGTGGGATGCAGGGCAGTTAGTTGTAAGCTGCACTCTACTGGGATGGGAGGTGCAGAGATTCTGGAAGGAAGGGATCCATGGGATTCTTCTTATTCTTTAAAGACTTTGTTTATTTTTAGAAAGAGAGGGAGAGAAACATTAGTCTGTTGCCTCTCACATGCGCCCAACTGGGGATGGGACTGCAACCCAGGCATGTGCCCTGACTGAGAATTGAACCCTTGCCCTTGCACCTTGCAAGGCGACATTCAAGCAACAGCCATGCTGGTCAGGGCAACCAGAGGATTCTTTTTTTTTTTTAACTGATTATGCCATTACATTTGTTCTATTTCCCCCCCCTCCGTTCCCCTCCACCCTGCACACCCCTCCCCCACCATTACCCCCTTTAGTTCATGAACACGTGTCTCAAGTTCTTTAGATTCTGTATTTCCCATACTATTCTTACCCTCCCCCCTATCTATTTTCTATCTACTGTCTATGCTACTTATTTTCTGTACCTTCTCCCCCCTTCTCCTTCTCCCACTCCCCTGTTGCTAATCTTCCACGTGATCTTCATTTCTATGGTTCACTCCTGATCTAGCTGTCCTCTTAGTTTGCTTTTGTTTTAGGTGTGGTTGTTAATAACTGTGAGTTTGCTGTCCTTTCACTGTTCATCTTTATCTTCTTTTTCTTAGGTAAGTCCCTTTAACATTTCATATAATGAGGGCTTGGTGATGATGAACTCCTTGAATTTGATCTTATCTGAGAAGCACTTTATCTGTCTTCCATTCTAAAGGAAAGCTTTGCTGGATAGAGTCATCTTGGTTGTAGGTCTTTGGATTTCATGACTTGGAATACCTCTTTCCAGCCCCTTCTTGCCTGTAAGGTCTCTCCTGAGAAATCTGCTGACAGTCTGATGGGAACTCCTTTGTAGGTGACAGTCCCCTTATCTCTTGCTGCTTCTAGGATTCTCTCCTTCATTTTAATCTTGGCTAATGTAATGATGATGTGCCTTGGTGTGTTCCTTCTTGGGTCCAACTTCTTTGGGACTCTCTGAGCTTCCTGGATTTCCTGGAAGTCTATTTCCTTTGCCAGAACGGGGAAGTTCTCCTTTATTGTTTGTTCAAATAAGGTTTCCACTTGTGACTGTTCCTCTTCCCCTTCTGGTACCCCTATAATTCGAATGTTGGAGCGTTTAAAGATGTCCTGGAGGTTCCTAAGCCTCTCCTCATTTTTTTGAATTCTTGTTTCTTCATTCTTTTCTGTTTGGTCATTTTTTCCTTCCTTCTGGTCCACTTCCTTGATTTGAGTCCCAGTTTCCTTTCCATTACTATTGGTTTCCTGTGCATTACCATTCATTTCAATTAGTTTAGCCTTCATATGTTCCTCTAATTTGTGACTAAAATCAACCAGTTCTGTGAGCATCCTGATCACCAGTGTTTTGAACTGTGCATCTGACAGTTTGGCTATTTCTTCATGGCTTAGATTTATCGGCTCTGGGGCTCTGAGTTCTTCTTGAGCCATGTTTTTATCTGTTTGTGCCTGTTTTGTATGAGGAGAGGCACCTTGGGCCTTCACCAGGGTGGGGCCACCCAGGTCACTGGTTTGTGATGCTGTATGCAGGGGCGGGGTCAGAGAGGGAGCAATGGCAGTCCTCTTTGCTAGCCCAGTCTGTCCCACCGCTGGCCCTCCCGCCTGTTTATCTGAGCGCAAATGTGGGAGCCCAGCGCCATGCGCCATGCGGTCTCAACGCTCGCCTCTTCGCTGGTTTATCTGCACGCAAATGCTCGACCGACCGCAGACAGCCAGCTGCGCCTCTTCCCCATGTCTGCTCGTAGCTAGCCCGCACCTGGGATACGCGCCTTCGGCTGCCTGTGTACCACGCGGGTCGGGGATCTTTTTGGCCAACCCGCTCCGCTGCTGGCTTCGCTCCTCTTACCAGTTTAGCTGAGCATTTTGTTGTTTTCGGACTCCATACTGTCGATTTTCTGTGTGGTTTGGTTGCATTTATTGTTGTTAAAACTTTGTTGTTTTTAGATTTGGTTGTGCGAGGACGCAAGGTGTTTCCACCTACGCCTCCATCTTGGCGGAAGTCTCCAAATTCTTTTAAAATTACTTGTAGCACAGGCCGCCTCTACCTTTTGCATTTGTTTCTGTTGGGGACACTGGAGTGGCATTCCAGGTCTGTTCTGATGACTGCCTAGATTGTGGATGCGCCCGACCCAGGTCCCAGGCCACTGTGGTCTCAGGCAAAGGGGCACAGAAGTGGTATCAGTGCACGGATGTCCTCCTTCACGGCTTCATGCGTTTGAGCTCTTCATAACACGAGAGCTTGCTAGCCAAATAAGGAAGATAAGTCAGCTCCCCGGCTCAGGTGTGGGTTGCTTGGGGCACCATGAAGCTGTGGCTGATGACCCTCCCCACACCCCCAGATGATTTGCAGCGGGAATTGATAACCACACGCCATCTGCTGGAAGAACTCGGGGTCTGCAGTTCAGAAGAAAATGGGAAGGTGTTAGACCTGCTGGGTGAACTCAAGGAAATGACCCAAAAGAAGGATCTGGAGCTCCGAAGGTATTTCAGAAAATACTTTAACAAGAAGAGAGGGGGGAAAGGACTATAAATTATTAAAAAAATAAAGTGGGTTTCTTGTAGATAAGAAGTAAAGTAAAAGAGAGCTCCAGTCAGGCAGCAGCGGGTGTGGGCAGCTGCGCTGGGCAGAGAACCACAGTTCTGGCATTTGTAGCGTTCGAGGGTCCGCAGGGCAGGGAGAGGGGGTGGGTAGAAAGCCTTCAGCCCACCTGAGACCCCGAGGGAGTTCTCCAACGCCCGAATGGAAGGGGTGTGGTAGCATCACCCCTCGTTCACTCCTCAGAGCCACACAGCACCGCACATGCCCTTGGGCTACTCTGTTGGCGTTTTAAATGTGTTCCAGGGTAAACGCTTGGGGCAGTGTTTTTGGAACTTCTACTGAAGTGTACGTATAGACAGAAGAGGTGCAGATTGCTGTGGTACAGCTTGGAGGGTTTCACCAACTCTCGACCCTGGGGAACCAGCCTCAGGCCCGCTGCAGCCCACGGCCAGCTCCCCAGGGCCACCCCAGCTTCCTTCTCTTGCTCTCCCCTGGGGGGTTTCCGACCTGGGGCTTTCTTCCTCGTCTTCCAAAGAGAATCTGGTTTTCTTCTCCTTTACAATGCTAAACACACTTCCTAAGATGCCTAAAATATTTGAAAGGTACTCATGAAAAACACCTGCTGCTGCTGTGGACCTGCCTTCTATATGTGCCCCAGGATGAAATCAGGACCCCCCAAAGCGTTCTAGAGGGCCAGAGTCACGGGTGTGAGTGGTTGGACACACCCTTTCAGTACCCGTTTTCCTACCACCACGTACTTCAAAGGCAGGCTGGGGTGCTGTCCCGTTCAAGGCTGTCACTTGTCCTGACATGGCATCGGTGCTCCCTAAATATTTCTTGAACAATGCATCTTTCCTTTCATGCCTGCCTGGTCCTATTCTTAGGGGCCTCCTCGTTTGATTCTGTTCAGACAGAGCTCATCGACTTGTGCCTTCCCACGAGTGCTTGGGGGGAATTGGCCTGAACCCATTGCCTCCACCCTGCCAGCGTGGAGAGGGCAGAGGCACTTGGGCTTCCTCTGGCCCTTGGAGGCAGAGGGCGGAAATGTGTCAACCCTTCTGTCCCTCCCACAGGAGCTTTGCGAAGGTGCTGGAACTCTCCGCCGGAGCGAGCAAAGAGGCAGCCTTAGTCAACCAGGAGGTCTGGGAAGAGGCTCAGGGCCTCTCGGCCTCCCGCCGGTGGTATTTCAGTGAGGCGGGCCCCCGGGCGGAAACTCAGGGAGAGGCCAGCAGCCTGCCCCTCTCGGGCTGACAAGCCATACGCCGTGTGCACCACAAATCCACACGCAGGCCCTGTCCCCAACCCAAGTGGGGCCCTTCCTGTAAACTGTCAGAAGAAAGCGCGTTCTTCGCCACTTGTCCAGGGCTCATCTGTGCCAGAGTGGCACGGATGCGACATTCTGGAGACTTAAGCACTTTAGTTACTTAAGCAGTATAGCTATTTTTAGCTGAGAATCTCATCTGATATTCAAAAAATAAAACTGTTTGGCATAGAGCTTTGGTTTCTCTGTGGGGCGAATGGAAGGCACGTGTTGTCACGTTCTTCCCGACAGCTGGTTCTGAGCCTCAGGACCTCTGAGGCCTTAGGAGTATTGCACTTTTAGGATGAGTGCTGTCCTTCTGTCACAGGGCTGTTTTGCCTGATCCCACAGTGAGTTAGGGGTTGGCCTTCAAATGGAAATTACCCATTCAGCCAACGTCCCAGAAGGGATCGAAGGGAGGTCCCTGCAGGCTTTTGCCACTGCGTCAGTCTGCACCCCACACTGGGCTGTGCTGCGTGGCTCCGCAGCCCTCCTGGTTCCTGTGGACGAGGACAGGCCTTCGGCCTTGCCACCCTGGGGAGGGGGTGTGCTTGACCTGAGATGCAGGGCCCACCCCCAGCATGCACTCTGGGAAGAGACGTATTCCCTTTAAAGCCTGTTCAAACAGGCACACTTTCACTGTAATTCCACCAACCCTTACATCCCTGACGGGAGCTTCCCAGGCACTGCGTCCACAGGTTGGGCATTTACTGTTACAGATAGTGGAAGCAGTCCCAGTCAGATGCAATAGCCATTCCTAGAAACCATGCAGGTCAAGGAGGCAACAGGCTCTTCCCATCATGGGGGCCTAAACCTGGCAGTTTCCATCCACACCACCAACCCTTTCACTTCTGTGATTCCAAGTCCACTGAAGCCCTCACTGGGGATACCTATGGAGCTCTTGGGTTAGCATCTCAGAAAATTAACACCCTGATCCCTTCCTCTCCCCACCCCATTTGTGTGCAAGAAGCTTTGGGTCTGTGGAAGGGGACACCCCCGGGACCTCGGTCCTTTTGTCAGTCATCTTAATTAGCCAGGTTAGTGCCAGTTCTCTGTAATCACTGCCTTCTAGCTTTAAAAATTTCCCCAAGCTGGCGAAAATGGTGGACTTGTTTGGGGTCCCGGAGTGTCTGGGGACCAGCAGGGGTTCTGCCCCACTCACCCTCTCACATGCTGCACTCAGACCCCGGCTTCGTCCCGTTGGATGGCATGGCGCCCGGCTCGCTTCGGGGAAGCGGGGGCTGGAGAGCGCTGCAGAGGGAGCAGATGGTATGTCCCACACATTTGTGCTGGGAACTGACAACTAGCTAAGGGGCAGCTCGGCATTGTGAACGTGAATCGTGTGCGAAGATTGCCGTGATTTCTAAAAGTGAAACTAGGTCAAAATGTGCCAGGTATGGAACAATCTGTTAAAATTTCTAAAGACCTGGAAAGCTAAAAATGACTCTGGGGAGAGGGGGCCAGGGAACCCTGAGGTAGGTGGAATGCTTGCTTGTTATTGTTGCATTTGCATTCCTTTAACGTTTTGGTCAAACATTTTCCCATCTGCATCTGTTAGGTTTTCATTAAGAAAATCCATCCAACGGAACTCAACCAAGCAGGCTCTCGGAGTGCCATGCTCATGTTTAAGTCACAGTGTCAGCCTCCATGCTGTCCATTCTGTAGCCAGACCTTTCTTTGCAGCCAGCAAGTCCACCCTGTGCCCACAGCAAGGGCAGCAGCCCATGTCCCAGGCCCACAGTGGTCGCACTCACAGCGCCGGCAGATGCTCTCAATTGTTCAGGGTCAGAGGGTCACTGAGCTCATCTTCAAACATTGGGGTCTCTGTGGTCACCAAGGAGGAGCTTCCAGAAATTCCTGAACCCAGTCAGTTCCAATTAGCCAAAAGGCAGGGGCTGGGGCTGGGCTGGGGCTGGGCTGGGGCATGGGGAGAGCTTTTCTGTGGGAGAGGGGGCCCAGCCTGGGCTGCCCCAGGGACACAGGCCACTGGGGGTGGGGAGAACCCTGGCCTCGGGGTCCGTGGGGCTGCCAGGTGATCAGCAACACCACCCTTCACAGCTAATTCCATCCATCAGAAGCTCTGTTGCAGTGGGCCAGACAGAAAGCTGGGGTCCCGACAATAGGCAAATCCATAGAGGCAGAGAGTGGAATAGAGGTCACCATGGGCGAGGGGAGGGGGACTGGCGAGTTAGTGTTTAAAGAGCAGGGAGTTTATGAGGAGGAGGATGAAAACTTGGGTAGTTAGTGGTGATGGTCACACAGCACTGTGAGTGCATTAGCGCCCCCTGCTGTACACTCAGCCATGGTGACAAACGTTATATGCAGAGTCTCATACCGCGTTCTTCAATGGCAAAGAAAAATGACCAAAACAAAAAATCCAATAGTAGGGCTGGAAGATAAAATAGTGAGAAATCTCCCAGAAAGCAGAATAAAAAGGACAGAAATGGAAAATAGGAGCGAGTTTTTTAAAATTAAGATTCCATCCAAGGGGTTGCATATCCAACCAGCAGGAATTGTGGGGGGAGAGAGAAGTAGCTATAGAAAAGAAATAATACCAGTTGCAGAGGGACCTCTGAGGGCACAGCTCAGGGAATAAGGAAAGGCCCATGCAGGGGAACAAAGTACCCCCGAACACAGCAGGTCACAACAGCATACACCTGTCACAGATTCTCCGAGTCAGGAACCTGGGTGCAGCTGCCTTGGTCTTTATCTTCACGGTCTCCTGAGGCTGCAAGCGAGGTGCCGGCCAGGGTCTCACCCAAACGCGGGATGAGAATTGCTGGACGAGAATCATCTGCTTCCAAGCTCAGCCAACCTCTTGTCAGTGGGGTTCAGCTCCACGTCGAGCGCTGGCTGTTCCACGGGTGCCACTGTCTCTTGCTGGCTGTGGCTGATGATGTCCCTTGCAGGAGGACACCCTCAGTTCCACGAGAACATCTCCAGCACTGAAGTGTATTTAATGAAAGTGAGCGGGAGACAGTCAGATAGCAAGGTAGAGTGGCCCTCTAGATCCTGATCACGAAAGGGACGTCCCCACCTGCTAAGGGGCCACATTCTGTTGTTCAGGAGGAAGGTCCCCCAGGAGAGGGGTGACACGAGGACAGGAAGTGGAACCATCGGTGTCGGGTTAGCTGCTGCTCGTCCCACTGGAGGCACCGCCATACGTTTCAGAGCACTAGGGATGAGACAGTTTCAGACTGGCAGAGAAACATGACGGGTGCGGACATTGGTGACGTCCGGATTCTCAGTGGCAACATCGGGAGCTGGAAGACCCTGGGGCCAGGCTGTATGTGGGTGCCACTTAAGTTTTTCAAATCATAAAAATGGTGTGAAGGGACTTCCGCCAAGATGGAGGCATAGGTGGATGTGCCGTGCCTTCTCACACAACCAAGTTTAGAGACAACTAAATATTAGCAACAGAAAACACAGCCAGAACACGGAAAATTGAACTTTTCGGAAGTCCGTTAACAACAAATTCTTCAGCCTGACCGGTAAGGGGCAAAACCAGCGGCTGGTGAAACGGGGTTGCACAGGAGGACTCGGTCAGACGGACTCAGGCGCGCGGAATCCAGGCGCAGGGTTGGACCTAGTGAGCGACCGCGGGGGAGACAGCGGAGGAGCGGTGCTGCGTGTTGACTGTGGTCGCACATTTGTGCGCGGGTGGACAGGCGAGGGAGTGGGCGATTGGACCTGGGCCCTGCGGGTCCCGCAGCAAGCAGCAGTGGAGGGCGCCGCCATTTCCCTGCTCTGACCCCACCTCCACATACAGCGTTATAACCCAGCGACTCTGAGTGGCCCGGCCCAGGTGAACCACCTAAGCCACTGCTCCTCACCCAGCTGTGAGAAACAGCAGAGGGGTCGCCATTTCCCCGCTCTGACCACGCCCCCACATACAGCGTCACAACCCAGCGACCTGGGAGTCCAAGGCGCCGCTTCTCACACTTAAAGGGCACGAACAGACCAAAAATGGCGCAGGATGATCTCAAAGCCCCAGAGCCTATAGATCTAAGCAATGAAGAAATAGCAAAACTCTCAGATGCACAATTTAAAACACTAGTGATCAGGATCCTCACAGAACTGGTTGATTATACCCACAAATTAGACAAATATATGAAGGCAAAACTAATTGAAATAAATGGAATTGCACAGGGCACCAATAGCAATGAAAAGGAAACTGGGACTCAAATCAAGGGAGTAGACCAGAAGAAAGCAAATAATAGTCAAACAGAAAAGAGTCAAGAAGCAAGAATTCAAAGAAATGAGGAGAGGCTTAGGAACCTCCAGGACATCTTTAAACACTCCAACATCCGAATTATAGGAGTACCAGAAGGGGGAAAGGAACAGCCACCAGTGGAAAACTTATTTGAACAAATAATAAAGGAGAATTTCCCCAATCTGGCAAAGGAAATAGACTTCCAGGAAATCCAGGAAGCTCAGAGAGTCCCAAAGAAGTTGGACCCAAGAAGGAACACACCAAGGCACATCATAATTACATTAGCCAAAATTAAAATGAAGGAGAGAATCCTAGAAGCAGCAAGAGCTAAGGGGACAGTCACCTACAAAGGAGTCCCCATCAGACTGTCAGCGGATTTCTCCAAAGAGACCTTACAGGCAAGAAGGGGCTGGAAAGAGGTATTCCAAGTCATGAAATCCAAAGACCTACAACCAAGATTGCTCTATCCAGCAAAACTTTCATTTAGAATGGAAGGACAGATAAAGTGCTTCTCAGATAAGGTCAAATTCAAGGAGTTCATCATCACCAAGCCCTTATTATATGAAATGTTAAAGGGACTTATCTAAGAAAAAAGAAGTTAAAGAAACATGAACAGTGAAAGGACAACAAACTCACAGTTATTAACAACCACACCTAAAACGAAAGCAAACTAAAAGGACAGCTAGTTCAGGAGTGGAAACATAGAAATGAAGATCTCAAGGAGGGTTAGCAACAGGGGGAGTGGGAGGAGGAGAAGGGGGGAGAAGGTATAGAAAATAAGTAGCATAGACAGTAGATAGAAAATAGAAGGGGGGGCAAGAATAGCATGGGAAATATAGAATCTAAAGGACTTGAGACACATGGTCATAAACTAAAGGGGGGGTAATGGTGGGGATGGGGGGGTAGGGTGGAGGGGAATGAAAGGGGGAATAGAACAACTGTAACAGCATAATCAATAAAAATTTTTTAAAAAAAATGGTG